TTTGGCAGTAGATTCGAAGAATGATAATAACAACAATATTAGATTGACCCCTTCCTTAACCGATGCAGCTAAAATCGACATACCCATTACGGCTCCCGGAGCTTTCGCCTTTTACTCAACCTACAGCCCTCCCCCGTCGCTCTCAATCAGCCCCTCTTCAATCCCGCAGGAGAAGAATCAAGACCAGGTCCGCTCCAAAACACACTACCTAACCATCTCGCCCCGCGTAACTCTTAACAATGTCAACCTCCCCTTAACATCCCTTTCAATAATCACTGTCCTCTCAAAGTTCATGGGTCAGTATCCGGCAGACTGGGACAACCACCTAACCAGCATCTCCCGGCGCGGTTATAACATGGTCCACTTCACCCCGCTGATGGAACGTGGCGAGTCGAATTCGCCGTACAGCATATTTGACCCGCTAACGTTTGACACGGCCCTTTTCCCCAATGGCGAAGCTGATGTAGCGGCGTTGGTCAAACGTATGGAAGGCACCTATAACCTGCTGGCATTGACGGATGTCGTGTGGAATCACACGGCTAATAATGCTAGCTGGCTGCTGGAGCATCCGGAGGCTGGTTATAGTGTTGCCACGGCGCCATGGTTGGAGGCGGCGTTGGAGCTTGATACGGCATTGACTCGCTATTCCGAGCAACTAGGCGAGCTAGGGTTACCCGTAGAGTTTAAAACGGAGAAGGACGTGGTGGAAGTTGTACATGGGATGAAAGCGAATGTTATTGATAAGATACGGTTGTGGGAGTTTTATGCCGTGGATGTGAAGAGGGATGTAGAGAAGACGATTGAGTTGTATCTGAGTGGCGACGATCACATCCCCAAGGGTGGATTTGGGGTAGGCACTGTTGGCTCTTTGAAGGAGATTAGGGAATGGAGCTTAAAGGAAAAGGCACTTTTTATTCGGGAGAAAGGGTTGATGAATAAAGATCGGATCCTGGGTCGGTACGGCCGGACTGTCGATGCCACGGTGGGTGCGGCCTTGCTCCGGGCTCTGTATGGCCGGTATGACAAGGATTCGTCGGATGTTCCACGCATTCGAGAAGCGCTCAAGGAAATTCTGGACGAGGTCAATCTCCCGCTATTTTTGGAGTATGATAAGGACGTCCAGGAGATCTTTGACCAAGTGTTTAATCGTGTCAAGTACCAACGGCTCGATGACAATGGGCCTAAGCTGGGGCCAATTACCAAAGGGAATCCGCTCGTTGAAACATATTTCACTCACCTCCCAATCAATGAAGTTACGAAGAAACACTCTCCCAATTCGCTGGCGCTGGTTAATAACGGGTGGGTATGGAACGCAAATGCCATGCGGGACAACGCGGGTCCAGACTCTCGTGCCTATCTACGACGCGAGGTCATTGTCTGGGGTGACTGTGTCAAGCTTCGCTATGGCACATGCCCAGATGACAATCCGTTTCTATGGGATTATATGGCCCGATATACACGACTGATGGCGAAATACTTCACCGGCTTCCGTATAGACAACTGCCACTCGACCCCTCTTGCTGTGGCGGAATACCTCCTGGATGAAGCTAGGCACGTTCGGCCGGATCTCACGGTCTTCGCGGAATTGTTTACTGGCTCAGAGGAGACGGACTATCTCTTTGCGAAGCGGCTGGGCGTTGGCGCACTGATTCGCGAGGCTATGCAGGCGTGGAATACGGCAGAGCTTAGCCGGCTTGTCCATCGGCATGGTGGGCGGCCTATTGGGAGCTTTGATATCGATCTGCCGACGGATAATTGCCCGCGAGAAGACTCTCCTGAAAGTGGCAGTAGAGATGAAATTGTCAAACATATCCGTGAGGCGTCTATCCCGGCACTGTTTATGGATTGCACGCATGACAATGAGGTACCTGCGGAGAAGCGGCAGGCAAGGGATACGTTGCCTAATGGCGCGCTAGTCGCAATGTGTGCGTCTGCGTCTGGGAGTGTTATGGGCTATGATGAGATCTATCCGAATCATTTGGATTTGGTGGCTGAGACACGTGTATATTCTTCCGGATCCTCGGACAGGAAGGGGAAGGGAGAGGGGAAAGAAGGGCAAAGCGATATGTTGTCCGTTGTTGGGGAGGGGGGTATTGGTGGAGCGAAGAAGTTGTTGAATCAGCTACATACGAGGATGGCTGTGGATGGATATGACGAAACCCATATTCATCATGAGGGAGAGTATATTACCGTCCATCGCGTGCAGCCGAATACACGAAAGGGTGTTTTCCTCATCGCCCATACGGCGTTTCCGGGAGGCGGGGATTCGGGTGTCACTCTGGGCCCTGTGCGGCTGGTGGGAACTAAGGCCAAGCTTCTTGGTGCATGGAAGTTGGAGGTCGATGATTCAAATGAGTCGAAAAAGTGTGTTCTCTCTGATAAGATGTATCTCAGAGGCCTACCAAGTCGGGTTCTGAGCCTGGATGGTGTGCAGGTTGAGGAGATAGGGAATGAGACGGATATTACGATTCCGAGGGAATTCCCCCCTGGTTCGATTGCCTTGTTCGAGACGTGTATCCCTGGTGCCGATCTGTCGGAGAATCTACGTGCTTTTATCACCTCTGGTGCCGACGAAGCATTTGGTAATCTTGACCTTATCGATCTTAACTTTGTCCTTTACAGGTGTGATGTGGAGGAAAGGGATTCCAGCAGCGGCAAAGATGGCGTTTATAACATCCCCAACTTCTCTCCGCTTGACTATGCTGGTTTGCAGGGGTGGTGGAGCGTGCTTGAACCTATTGTCAAATCGGATGACCTCGGCCACCCGCTATGCGATCATATTCGCAGCGGCCAGTGGGCGTTTGATTATATAGTTGGACGCATGAATAACGCAGTGACGGCATATGGGTATGACCGTCTTCGGGCTCCCGCAACATGGCTACAAGAACGCTTCGATGCGATTCGTGGTGTTCCAAATTTCCTCCTACCGAGATATTTTGCTATGATTGTCCAAACGGCCTATTACGCCTCATGGAGACGTGGCATCCATTTATTTAGCAACGTCAGGCATGGCACGGAATTCATCCACTCGCTCGCAATGGTTTCCACCCAGATGGTCGGCTATGTGAAATCAGCCTCCCTGTTTCCCACCAAACAGGTTCCTTCTCTCGCCGCCGGTTTACCACATTTCGCTACCGATTGGGCGCGGTGCTGGGGGCGTGACGTTTTCATCTCCCTTCGTGGTCTCCTGCTTGTCACCGGCCGATTCGACGTCGCGAAAGAACACATCCTCGCCTTCGCGAGCGTGCTTAAGCATGGCATGATCCCCAATCTACTCGGGAGCGGTAAATTATCCCGCTATAACTCGCGTGACTCTGTCTGGTTCTTCCTCCAGGCTATCCAGGACTATACCACCATCGTTCCCGATGGTATTTCGTTGCTGGATGAGAAAGTGTCCCGTCGTTTCTTGCCGTATGATGATACTTGGTTCCCCTTTGATGATGAAAGGGCTCATAGCCAGTTCTCGACCATTGCGGAGATTATCCAGGAGGTATTCCAGCGACATGCATCCGGTATGTCGTTTCGGGAGTATAATGCCGGCCCGGAGTTGGATAGGCAGATGAGACCTGAAGGGTTCCAGATTGATATTCATGTCGACTGGAATACGGGATTTATTTTTGGTGGCAATCGGTGGAACTGTGGGACGTGGATGGATAAGATGGGCGAGAGCGAGAGGGCTGAGAACAAAGGGTATCCGGGGACACCAAGGGATGGTGCTGCGGTTGAGATTACGGGGCTTCTATACAGTGCACTACGGTGGGTGGAAAAGCTACACCGTGAGGGGCGGTATATGCATGACGGCGTTAAAATTAGCTCGAGCTCTACTGCGACGACGGAGACAATAACCTTCTCAGACTGGGCTGGCCGTATCTACGAAAATTTCAACCGTGCATACTACATTCCCCTCCACCCAGCAGACGATTCAGAGCACGATATCGACCCATCCATTGTCCACCGTCGTGGCATCTACAAGGACCTCTACAAATCCTCCAGCCCCTACCAGGACTACCAACTCCGTCCCAACTTTACCGTCGCCATGGTCGTCGCTCCAAGTCTTTTCCCACTGGAGAATGCCATACACGCACTCACCACTGCGGACACTGTCCTCCGGGGTAAAGTTGGGATGGCTACGCTCGACCCCGCTGATCTGAATTATCGCCCGTATTATAACAATGCGGAGGATTCGACGGATTTTGCCACGGCGAAGGGGAGGAATTATCACCAGGGGCCCGAGTGGGTGTGGCCACTGGGTTATTTCTTAAGGGCGCTATTGAGGTTTAAGATCTTGGGCCAGAGGTCTAGCGATGGAGAGGGTGGGGAGAAGGGGAAGGGTAGGGAGATGGAAGAGACGTTTCAGCTTGTGTCGAGTAGGTTGGAAGGGTGTAAGAGAATGATTGTTGAGAGTGGATGGAAGGGGTTGACTGAGCTGACGCATGGGGGTGGGGGGTTTTGTGCGGATTCGGTGAGATATATATTTCTTTTCCCTCATTTGTGCCAGATTTTCGTTCGATGTTGGATGGTAGTATGTGGGTAGGCTTTGTGGTGCTGATTTTCCGGGTTTTCTAGTGTCCGACCCAAGCGTGGTCTTCGGCGTGCTTATTGGATCTTTATTATGATGCAACACAGTATCAGAAAGGAACGGGATTTGACGACGAAGGATGAGGAATGGTAGAAATTGATGCCTCGGGAATTGACAGATGACGGGTGCCCTCGGATCTCAATTTTCATTGTTTGATAAATACAGTAGAAATATAAAAGATGGGAGTTTGGATTTAGAATTGTGAGGCTAGCAATGAGGGTTATGTGTATCATAACACATATAGTGATAGTTGAATAATTGAATCGTATATGGTTAGCTATCCTTTTTTAGTACTCCATCTAACTACTGTGTAGTTCTGCTCAACATGCTAAAGAATAGACAATGACGTCATATTAATGATATTATTAGGCAACGTAAGCTAACCGAATCTGGTAAGATGCTAATCATCCCGAAGCGCAACTTCCAACTTCCAACGATCCAAAAGCTAACCATTCTCAAGATCGACAACCTCTTCACCGCGCCCACGATAATAACAGCCAGGCAGCTGGATGGGTCGCGTCGATAATCCCTCTATTTCCGATGATGTGAACGGCCGCGGTTAACTTGTCCCTTTATTTGCTCTTTTTGGTATAATTCACTTCTATCCGCACGACGATAAAGTAGCGAAGGGGAGAAATAAGCAAGCAGTATATTCAAAAAGAGCTTTACTGCTTAATCTCGCGATCGGAAAGCCCGCACACGAATAAGGACGCGGGGTTAAGAACGGAAAGCCGCAGGTCGTATCACGTCTCTATCCCCGACGACGGCGACGAGATCTCTCCACCCACTTACTCCGATGTTATCCTCGCTACTATCCGCCACCGCGTCTGCCACAGCCTCTTCGATCTTAGCCGTTGCGACGGGTAAAAACGATACCGGCGATGGTGGCGGAGATGGCGAGCATAAATACCAGGATCAGACGAAGGGTCAGCGCGACCTGCTAACACAGGTTATCGTCAGCTCTACCGTTGGGTTTCTAGCGTTTATGGGCTTTTGTGTACGTTTTGAGGTTTCCGTTCCTTCTGCCCTCCTCCTTTTAGTGTTTACTGATTTTAATCTTGGCGTAGATACTTCGAACGAAGTGGAGATCGCTCTACGCTGCTCGAAGAAGGCTGAGAACGGCTGCGTCGAGATTGCCTGAGCTGCCAGATACGTTGTTTGGCTGGATCCCAATCGTGCATAAGATTTCTGACGATGAGGTGCTAGCATCTGCCGGGCTGGATGCGTTTGTGGTTGGTTTTATTTCTTTACGCGGGGTACTATATTTTGGAAATACAAAAACGATGCTAATTATATGTGTTTTCCGCGCAGTTTTTATCATTTTACTCGTACGCCCTTAAGTTCCTGACAGTTGTGTTCTTTTTCACGCTTGCGGTTATTCTCCCGATCCACTATATCTATACGAATAAATATGGCTATCCCTGGGACATACCAGAGGATCATAAGGATGATTCACAAAAAACGAAAGCCGACCCGACATACCTATGGATGCATGTTGTTTTCGCCTATGTTTTTACTAGTATTGGCATAAAATTTCTTATCGACCAGACGAACAAAATCATCCAGATCCGCCAGCAGTATCTGGGTGCTCAAACAACTATGACGGATAGGACAATTCGTTTGTCGGGGATACCGCCCGAGTTACGCTCCGAGGAAAAGATAAGGGACTTCATCGAACAACTTCAGATTGGAAAGGTGGATCAGGTCATGCTATGCCAGGACTGGAGAGAACTGGATGGCCTGATGGAGGCGAGGAAAAATATTCTCCAAAAATTAGAGGAGGCATGGACTAAACATGTTGGCTATCAATGGAAGAGGCCTGACAGCAGAGCAAACGCATTACCGCTTGTTCGAACGGACCCGGTGGAAGCAAGTTTCGAGTCGAGAGAGGAGAACGAGCGTTCCCGCCTACTTTCGACCGAAGACTCTGCACGAGCGCATGTCTCGAGCTATTCCCTCAAGCGACCCACGATACGCATTTGGTACGGCCCGCTAAACATGCGGTACAAAAAAATCGACGCAATTGACTTCTACGAGGAAAAGCTGCGGCGACTAGATGAGAAAATTGAGGAGATTCGCAGCAAGGAGTGTGAACCAACACCGCTCGCCTTCGTCACTATGGAGTCCATCGCTGCCTGCCAGATGGCTGTTCAGGCTATTCTCGACCCTTGGCCCATGCAGCTCGTGGCGAACCTAGCACCCGCTCCTGCAGACGTGGTTTGGCAGAACACCTATTTGTCGCGGGGCAGTCGGATGCTCCGGGGATGGTCCATCACGTTGCTCATAGGGGTTCTCACCGTGTTCTGGTCTGTTCTCCTCATTCCCCTCGCTTACCTGCTCAACCTGGAAACCATTGAGAAAGTCCTTCCGACTCTTGCGGACTTTCTTTCTCGCCATGCCATAGCCAAATCGTTGGTACAAACTGGTCTACCTACTCTTATTCTCTCTCTATTGACAGTTGCCGTTCCGTTTCTTTATAATTGTAAGTTCTGCTACACCTACTCTTTTGATATCCGCAGAACTCCCGCTAATAGCAATTATTCAGGGCTGGGCAACCTTCAAGGCATGACATCTCAAGGCGACGTCGAATTGTCTCTTATCTCAAAGAATTTCTTCTTCACCTTCTTCAATCTCTTCCTCGTCTTCACCGTCTTCGCAACAGCCTCCAATTTCTACCGCCTCTTTGAAAACCTCCGCGACGTCTTTAGAGACACAACGACTATTGCCTTGGCCCTCGCTCGTTCCCTCGAAACCCTTGCCCCGTTCTACACCAACTTAATCGTCCTCCAGGGCCTGGGCCTCTTCCCCTTCCGCCTCCTCGAATTTGGCAGCGTGTTCCTCTACCCCTTCCAACGCCTCAGCGCGTACACTCCCCGCGACTACGCTGACCTGGGCAAACCTCCAACATTCAGCTACGGCCTCGCCCTGCCACAAACAATCCTCATATTCATAATCACCGTCGTCTACAGCGTCTTTCCTAGCTCATATATCGTCTGCCTCTTTGGCCTCATCTACTTCTCCATCGGCCGCTTCATCTACAAATACCAGCTTCTCTACGCCATGGACCATCAGCAACACAGCACCGGCCGCGCATGGCCCATGATCTGCTCCCGCGTCATTCTAGGTTTTATCGTCTTCCAGCTCGCCATCATCGGTACCCTCGCTCTCCGTACTGCCGTCACCCGCTCCATCCTTGTCGTCCCCCTGCTCGCCGGAACCGTCTGGTTCTTCTACTTCTTCTCCCGCACCTACGACCCGCTCATGAAATTCATCGCGTTACGCTCCATCGACCGCTCCCGCGCCGCAGTCGATCAGGACGAAACGCCTACGCCTACTTCTACAATGTCCCCGCCTTCCCAGTGGGATCGCGATGCTGTCCACCTCCGCTTCCGCGGTCGGGACCTTGCGTCCAAGCTGAAGAAGTATGTCAATCCGAATTTGATCGTGCCACTTGACGAGCCTTGGATTCCGGGACGTGCGCCCACGCTTGGGGCTACTAATGCTCTTGATGCGGGTGGGGACTTTATGGGAATTACGGATGGTAGTCACAATGGGAATGATAATAATGGTGCCCGGTTCAATGGGAATAGGAATTGGAGAAATAGGGGACAACACCTACCTTGCTAGATTTTGGGGCAGGAATTTTATATATATTCGCACCCAGGTACAAATGTACAGAATTGGACTTGGGATCGTGATGGGTTGGGTTATGATAAACGGAAGTGATGCTGATGGATCGAATAAATCTGAATCGGATTAGATCATCCTTTTTCTTTTTTTTTTTTTTTTTTTTTTTGTTTATTGATTGGACTGGTGGTGATTGCGATTGGCACAGGGTGCGCCTCCCAGCCTTCCCCTAGATAATCGCTTCTTTGTATATACATTTTTCTACATATGTGGTTTTCTGTATTCCTATTATTAATATTTCGGGTTTGGGAGACTTCCAGAGCTGACTGGGCATTGTTGGGTTTCCTTTTTCTAGATATCCCTGCTCCTGTTTTCTCCATTGGTTCTTCTTTGTTTTGCTTTCAAACGTACTTCTATTTTTATTTTTCTCTGCATCCATGATGATACCACTCTTAAGCCGCTCGCCATTTTCCTACATTTTCCTAATTCCAACTTCGATTGCACTTCCATTCTCTATTCTCTACGCATGGATCAGTTTTCATCTCCTACACACAAAAGTGTTACACTTTCAAATTCCAAACATCGGCCTACTTGTCCAACTTCAGTGAAGCGAGATAGGAGACAAGATTTGTGTTGATTGTCGTAAGTAGTACGGAGTAGTTTGTGTTATCATTATGTTCCAGTTGTACTCAAAAGTCGCCGGGACCTTCAGAGAGAAACGGATCATGCAAGTAACAGAGGTAAAATAAGGTACGAGAAATTCAAAATATTTTTTGTCTTCCCACCGTTTCAACCGGGCATATCCCCAATTTATATTTTATCTTATTTTCCTTAAGCCATTTGACCAAACCCCCTGAAAAAGACAGCGAAAATCACAACAAATTAACTCAAGGGAATATATAAAGGCGTTTTCAAAATGGACGAAAGTAGCCAAGGGAATAAACGACCTTTTCATAGACGTTTTGAGTAGTTTTCTATTATTATGCTCATGCGGCTTGTCCGCGTTCCCGCCGTTGCCGCACCGCATCCGCGAGGGTTTGTAATACGCTCTCCGTATCTTCCCAGCCAATGCAGGCATCCGTGATGCTGACTCCGTATTTCAGACCTGGTTTGCCCTGGGGGCTGACTTTTTGGTTTCCTATTGCGGATTAAAACCCACAGAAATTAGAAAAGGGTTCGTTCAGATCATAAGCTGCCAAAGAACCAGAAAAAAAAAAAAAGGGTAAAAGAAAGAAAAGGAACAAATATATATAGAACCCACCTTCGTTAATATTACTCTCAATCATCACCCCCATGATCGCCTCTTCACCGCCCGCAATCTGCTCCGCCAGCACAGCCGCCACCTTGGGCTGGTTGCGGTGATCCTTCAGCGAGTTGCCATGGCTGCAATCAACCATCAAGCGGGCATTCAAGCCCTTATCCGCCAACTTCGCCTTGGCCTCCGCGATGCTTGCTGCATCGTAGTTGGTTCCCTTCTTCCCACCGCGCAGGATCGCAAAGCAGTCGTCATTGCCATCCGTGCCCACAATCGCCACGACGCCCGGTTTCGTCACGGAGAGGAAATGGTGCGGGTGCTTGACGGAACCGATGGCGTCGACGGCCACGTCCAGAGAGCCGTCGGTGCCATTCTTGAAGCCGACGGGGAAGGAGAGGCCGCTTGCTAACTCACGGTGCAGCTGGGACTCTGTGGTGCGGGCGCCGATGGCGCCGACGGAGAGGAGGTCAGCGAGGAACTGGGGGGAGATGGTGTCGAGCATCTCGCTAGCGATAGGCATGCCCTTGTCTGTCAGGTCAACAAAGAGCTGGCGCGAGACGCGCAGTCCCTTGTTGATCTTGAACGAGTTGTCGATGTCCGGGTCGTTGATGAGGCCCTTCCAGCCGACGGTTGTGCGGGGCTTCTCGAGATAGGAGCGCATGACGATGAGGAGCTCGTCTTTGTGTTTCTCCTTTTGTTGGAGTAGGCGGTTGCAGTAGTCCATGGCTGCCTCTGGGTCATGGATGGAGCAGGGCCCGATGATGACGAGGAGGCGGTTGAGCGGGTCTTTGCCATTGACGACGGCGGCGGCTTCTTTGCGCGAGTTTATGACCGTCTGCTTGGAGGCAGGAGTCTGAGAGATCTCATGCTGTAGGAGGTTTGGCGGGGTAAGAGGATTGTAGCCCCGAACTGTATGTGTGTGTTGTTCGTTAGCTGAGCTCTGTCATATGGAATGGCGGGGGAGAGCTGGTGCTTCGAGATATTGAACCAAGCAGTAATCAAGAGTAGTTATGAATATTGACATACTCCGCCAGTCTTCCGCATGCTCTGTGTTCCCGACATCTTTATTCTCGATATACCACTATGTCCGGTTAGTTGGGATAATTGCGTCCTGGGCGCTGCGTTGAGTCATCGTTCTCACCTGGGTAGCCATGGCGGGGCAGTTTGACAGTTCAACAGTTAAACAATCAATGGTGAGGAGATAGGTCAATTGCAACTGGCAATCATGGCAAGGTAAAAGTGAAAAGGAGGAAGTGTTGTCTAGAAGAGAGTTATTAGTTTTATTATTGTGTTGTTTCTCTATTAAATACTTCTGTATGAACTGAACTGGCGGTGATCGAATTTCTCTCCGGCACCGGCGCCTTTTATTTTTTTTTGGCTTTTAAATTTTATTTTGGAAATTTGAGTTTGCAGTCACAAAGTTCTAACATGTGATGCACGTTATAAAGATAAATGAATATAAACATATTTCTCCGTTGGCAGACGCAACCAGCAATATTGTCACATTGTTACATTTAATCCCCATTATGTTGCCTTCGCTTTTTCCGTAAGATAATAATATAAATCCATGGATTGAGTAAATTATACAGCCGACAAACAGAAAACTCCCATTTCCCCTCGGTATTGAAACTTTGTGTTCGTCCGCTGCCCATTTTGTCCAGAGCAGTTAGGCACGGAAGCAACCAAACCACGCATCTTTAATAATAATGAGAGCGGTAACCTGGTCACTAACTCCATCGAGAAGAAGCTCTAATCGGGGTACGCTAATCATCCGCCCCGTATTCTTTCATCACAACATCAATTCGCCCTAGCAACTTCTTTCGCTTATGGACCGCTGCAGAAAGATCCTTCATGGCCGGTTGCTTTAAGAAGCTCTGTCTATCACTGATGAGACGAGCCATTATCATCTCGCAACGCTCAATCAGCTCTTCCTTGATGGGTAGCAGCCGGTTTTCGCACTCCTCAAGCTCCTCATCGTATCGCTGTTTCAGTTGCTCTACTAATCGACTCCCGCCTTGTCTGTAGGTGTCGACGACCTTGGTGATGGCTTGCTCCTCATCTAACAGGTGTCGAATGAGCCGCTTTCAGAGGTAGGAGGGTTAGCAGAGATTAAGAGGGTAGAGTGTTTCCAATATTAACTTGTACTTACGCTACTAGTATCTAGCAGTATGTCTAGGCTGGTCTTTTGGGTCGCTCGCAACGCATTCTGCCACTCAGATTCCACATCTCTATACTCTTCCACCAGGGTATACGAGAGGTTTGAACTTGAGCCAGAAGAAACCTCAGATGTGTCCCAGTATCTACTCTCCCCGTCGTATACCTCAGCCTCGGAGCTATTGATATCATGATCGAGTTCACTACTAGATTCTATAAATGGCATGATATTCGACTTCCGGGAGGTTTTTTTCATCGTCCGCACGTGTTTATGTCCTTTTTTGTTCCTCTGCGATTGCTTGTTTTGTTTTTCCTTTCGCTGTCCTCTGAGACGTCCAGCGAATGCGCTCGGAGCGCTCCGTCTCCAAAATGAATTGTCCATTAGATTGGATCGATTGCGAGCTGCAAAACTTCTTGTATTCTCACCCTGTTGCTTTAAAGGTGCGTCCCTGCGCTGGGGCGGGTTTTCGGAATTGGAACTATCATGACTCTCGTCGTTCGTTGCAAGGCCCTGGTGTTTGAGATCTACGTGGGTGCTTTCAGATTCGGAACTTGTCGATATACGATTGTTAACGGCAACATCCTCTCCTGACAAAGAAACCGAAAGCTCTGATGGGTGCGATGTCGCTGAAGTACTATCAATTGGAAGTTCGGCGTCAGGTGATATATTACTTGTGGGTCCCTTTGCACGGAACTTTCTGCGGATAGGCTGAGGGCTGCCATTCTCATCAACCCTTTGGCTCTGGCTTGGGATAGGCTGCACAGCCCGGCGTTGCGATCGAAACTCAACTTCAGTAACTTCGCAAACTGAGCTAGAATGGATGTGGGAGCCGCCGTTTTGACTACCAATATCCAACCTACGACATTCGGACGTTGGAATCAGGGACACCTCATCCATCTCGTCGATTTCGTCAATTCTATCGTCTGAACAATTTTCTAAACCATCCTTGGTAGGACGGGCGTCTTCATTATTATGATTCTCATGTGTACTGGTATCAGCTTTCGTCAAATTTCGGCCGGATGTGCCACTAGATATGGTGCACTGGTTTTTGGGCCCGTTTGAGTCGAAACCGACAATCTGTACTTTTCTAAGGGCTATTGCTGTCTCTGGGAGAGCGTCACTCTTGTTTCCTTCAACATTGTTTGGACCGTTACTCTCGGACATTAAAATACTGCGGATTTCAGTGGTAGCTGTCGGTTGACCCTGTATTTTTGTCTCTGTGGACTGTGTTTTATGCTGATCTCCTTCTGGTACACTCTGGTAAGCTCCATCGTTTGGCCTGGCGACTTTCACAGGCGCTCCGGCATTTTCCACAAGCTGGATCTTTGAGTGGTCTAGCTTGTCATGCTCATCCAGGGAAGGTCGTTGACTAACAACCGCCTGCCGTGCGATGAACTGGGAAACGTTTTTGGAAATTTCAGATACGTCCTTTCGCGCTTGACAATCCGTGCCGTTAACATTATTAACTGCTATCAAAGAGTTTGATGATAGAATGCCTGCTTTGGCCAAGGCATCGGAAAGCCTCTTTCCCCAGCTGTTCTCCCTGCATTCAACAGCCGTTTTCTGGAGCGCGTTGTCCATATTGGAAGGGGCTTCGGAATTGCGCACTTCGACTGACCCAGCAGAGGGACTAGATCCACTTGCAGCTATATTTCTTCCCTGCAAATCCAGATTTTGATCGGCATCTTCCTCTCCAGGGAGGTAGACAGGTCGTCTATTCTCCTCATTTGCTGTGGCCTGGTTAGGCCCAAGAACTTCAGGAGATGTGACTAGATTAGAGAATTCTGGGGCTGGACGACTTGTGCTAGGGTTGACGACACCCTCGATGGAGCGTACCTCCTGCACCTGGGCATCTTCAGAGATTACAACAGGGGAGATTACAACTGTGCCCCCTGTCCAATTGCCCTGGTTGGCAGCCAATATAGACTCCTCTGGCGGACTTGATTCGATAGGATCATCAACGTCGTATGCTGCATTTTCAAATTCGTTGGCCAACGCAAGCTTCTGGTTTGCTTTTTCAGCCGCAGCTCGGCGCTGACGAGCAGATGTCAATGTTTTTGTAACTTGACGACCCGTTTTCTTTGTCTTGCTTTTAGCTGACGTTGGAGCAATATGCGGGGTCAAGACAAGGGTTTGTTCCGGCTTCTTATGCTTTTTCGATGATCGTGAGATGCTTTTTGGTTTGGAGGTTTTCGTGGGACCCTTGAGTTGGGGTGACGTTCTTTTCTGTTTCTTAGAAGAGCTTGCTGGTCGGCCTACAACATCATTCTCTACACGAAGGTCCTGGTCCCAGTCAATGGTTAGTTGGTTAGCTCTGGATTCGCTGATCCGGTTATGGGGTCGTTTGAGTTTCGAGCTGCTGGCAGTCTGATCGGGAACCTTATCTCCATTCTGCTTTTCAGATGGGTGTTTGACCGTAACATTGATTTGCTGGCCCATATTCGTCGGATTATTATTGAATGAGCCAGGGTTTGTATCATTTGGCGGGGAGTCCTCGACCAGGATGTCAGCTAATTGTTCAGAGTCAGTGGCAGGGTTGTTAGCAGCGAGAGGCGCCTCTTGAACGTCCAAACCACCCGAATCCAGACTGTTTCCCACAACTTGATCCTCCTGTCCTAGAACATTTGCAAATGAACTAGAGTCGTGAGGTTGAGGTTGAAGTTGAAGTGCTTGTCGGGCGAGGCTTGGCAGCCCAATTTGGCAGTCACCCTGCCCCTGACTAATATGCGGCTCAACAACACCCTCGCCATTGCAGGATATATTATCCTGCGTTTTGGACGGAATTACAGCGTTGGGGGCTATTCGGGGACTTGGGATTCGTTCGTGTCTGGGCGAACGACTTTCAGGCGGATTTCCAGGCTCTGGTGTCTCGCTAACCCTAGGCGGGTACGAGTCACAATATTCGCTCCCTACGGTGCCAGAACAATCCTTATTATTAATTATCCACTGCTCACCTCCTGGATGTGATTTATCCTGATCTCCTTCGTTCACGTTGCAGGACACGCTCAAATCGAGATGGGCACTGGAGCCATTTATAGCTTCCTCGTCAAAGGAGAGCACCATGGCGGCGAAGGATGCCTTTCTTCTCGGATTCTGGGGTGTAGATTTACCAAAATCGAGGGGTAGAGTGGTTAAATCCTTTACAACCCCCGTCTTGCACAAAAATGATTCAAGTGAGCTGCCTTGTTTTTCGTGCGAGCGGGATCTCGCAGGGTTGGAGAACCCGTTGCTAGCCCTGAATCCCCCATTGGCTCCTTCGGCGAGCCGACACTGTTGTTCAAGGGCGTCCCGAACCTCGATCCCTTGGTTCTGATTTTCAAATACCATGGAAACCTTGTCTGCCTTTTCCATCAGACCATTCGTCATATAAAAACCATTGCCGCAGAGGTACACATCTAGCGTTGCCGTTCTCTCGTGCAGTACAAGCTTGTCAATGTGGCCTACACGAATTTCCATAAACTGAAAACGGTTGTCTTCAGTTATCATAACCCTGAGGAGACTAGATACCAATACTCCGATTAAGCAGTTACTGTGGCCGATATCTAATGCTCCAATATTGATAGTTTGGAGGGTATGCATCCTAAATGTCGTAATTAGTGTCGTAATAGACTAAGGATAATAGACAATCTCATTATTATTAAGCGCACCTTTGAGGCTCTGCCTTTTGCTGCGTGTCTTGACTAGATACAAAGACATTGAATTTCTCTATCCAGTGGGAGGCGATCGGGTCTCCTGAGGAAAACATGCCCAGGACTGGCTGCGGCGTGCTCGGAGGCCAAAAGATCCCGGGATCGACATGTGAAGCAACGATAGTCTGGATAATTACACTGGCCAGCAATCGCAAAACGTAGTCCGGTTCGCTCAGAACGGTCGCACCAAGTTTTCGCCTAAGGGCATGTTAATGTTAGCCCACAGAGTAGGTACTGGGTGTGTAAACATGAAGCCCTCACATATTCTCTTCGCCGCCCAATGCTAACATTCCCCCGTTGTCCTTTGATTTCCGGATCATCTCCAGTATAAGTTGACCAGTCTACCCGCACGCACGAGTTAGCATTCCGCGAGCCAGTAGCGTGGAGAAAACGCCAGCAACATACCCATTGTCTTGGTGCGTCGACGTCACCACTGACAAATGTGTGTAATAGGTGCTTGAAGGCCTTTTGACCCATGAGTGATTTGCGCTGACGAGAAGCGACAACCATAGTATACTGCTGAGAGTTCTGGATACTGTCCGTGAGACATCTCAGAGATTTCTTTCACAGAATGGTTAGATACCCACATAATAACTCAGTATATATATCAAGTAGATGTTTCAGGAGGATGCAAACCAGGAAAAGATAGAAACCCCTGTCTCGAGCCCGACATGGAGGGGCTCGCAGGAGAATATGGAGAACGCAATGGAAAGACACGAGATCGAGTCTTGAGCAATTCCCTCTATTTTCTCCATCGAATAAGGCGATCAGATCTGGAAAACCAGCTTCGTCAAGACGATCGAATGATGCTAGAAACCCATTAACCGTGTCTAGGGGGATGCTGTATAGGGAATTGCAGTGTTAGTGACCACGGTCATGCTTTTTGCACGAGCTACAACCCTGGGAGTTGAGTGGACTGACATTAGCAGATCGTTGCCTTTGAGCTTGCCGATAGCTCCCTGTAGATATACTACCAAGCTGCCCAGAGAGGATTTGCGTCCAGTGGCATCAGCTGTCTCATTGGGGACGGCCATTTTTGAGACAGGCTTCGAAACGGGAAAAGATAGAACGAAACAGCAGAGGGTATATCAAATGAATAGCATTGCGCAAGTATATGTATCGTACTGCGAATTATATAGCGTTACATAGCCAGTTCAGAAAGATATAGTAACGAAAGCACAGAGTAGCAGAAGAGACAAACCCTTCAAATGAAGTGCAGAGCGAGTTATGAGAGAAGCGAAGATCGAAGAAGAAGAGGTGATGTCTGTCTGGGTGGAAGGAGACGACCTTCGCGGGACAGAACAACGACAACGCGCATCAAGACAAGAGCAGACAACAACATCCCACCAATCTCCCGGGGCAATGAAACAGAAGAAATATTGAAGCTACAAGCTGAGCTGTAACTAGTTGTCTTAGCACTAACTACTAGTTACTTGTGATAAGCATCCCAAACATTCTCACAGTTATACTTGTGGTGATAAATACATTGGCAAGCCAAAACCTTCGTCCTGAACAACAGGCAACACACGCTGGATCCCTCTGTTCTCCAGACTGGTAACATGCAAATGGCTAGCTTCACGGCTAGTCACTTCTTCCGCTCCCTCAAGAGTAGATTTGCTAAAGTTCCATCTTCCATTTAGGAAAATGTTTGATCCTCCCAGAGCACCCCCATTTTAATCCGATATCAACCATGCCAGATTAAGTAGCTTGGTTGCCTGGACGGGAAAAAGGGGCAATCTTTCTGCTTGAATCAAACCCACACCCCGATTGTGCGGCTGGGATATTAATCGCCCGAATTATGACACATGGCCGGAACCATGCAAGTTGCTATGAATATTAGTCCGAGGTGGCTCCGATTGATTGGACTTGAGCGCGAACGTGAACGAACGTAAAGGCATCCGCTCTCCACATCACTTTCTTCTCATGGGTAAATAACTACGAATAATCAATGCCAATTTCCCGGTGTGCACTCTAAGAAAGGGCCATCTCTATCGTCTATGAAGTCCATTCCCAAAGTCCAGTCCCTCAGCCCGGAGAGTCCTCGCAAAATCCGCCATGTCCTTATTTAATACAACGGTGTTATTTATTTCGTGGACAAGGGCATGTTCCTTGGCCGGTCTCAACTTCGGGCCCTACAAATCAACGCTCTTATTTAATAAAGTAAAATAAAATAAAATGGAACTCCTACCTATCCTCATTGATACCGAACCGCTTAAATTTTACTTGTACATTACATGTAACTAACGTAATCAACCACCCAACGCTCACCTTTGTAAATCAATTACAATCAACTTTAAATGTTAATATCTCAGGTGCCAGCTTCCCGGTTCACTCTCGGTTCCTTGTGTGTACATTACATGCATGCCTAATAATCTACTGCTTATCTTACTCCGGATAGCCCGATGGGTATGGACCTAGGATCGTGAAGTTATTGTAAAACATGGAATGTCTAACGTTAGATAGAGATCTAGTGATCAACTTCCAACGACGTTCAGGATTGGTGGGAGGTTGTAGGAAAGGATACAGTCTGGCCTTCTACCAGAGTAAGAAGAGGGGGGAAAAAACAAAAAAAAATAGAAAAAATAGAAAAAAGAGGTTTTTTGGGAAGATCTGGTGACCCTCCGATTCTTGGGTTCAGCTTTGTCTGGTATAGGCACTCATTAAGGTCCCTTCATATATAATCAAGTTATGTATATATAAGGGTGGTTTGGCTGGGGAAGCATATAGAATAAGGAAATTATTCTTCGAGAAAAGTTGGAGAAGAAGAAGAAGCGGAGGATCTCTAGAGCTCGCGTTTCGCACGCTGAGGTAAGATGAGCTGTTGGATCAATTCAGTTTCACAAAGTTCCTTACATTTAAATATCAGATCGGCCATTGATAGCCAAGGATATATATATATATATATATATATAATATATACTTACCTGCATCTGCCCACCTTTTGCCTAACGTGCCACATCGCATTCGTCCCCCTAGGCCCTCGTGGGAGATAAATACCGCAGCGAAGAATTAATTAATACAAACATTCACAGGAAATATGAGCCAAAAAATGCAAGAGTGCGCTGGAGGGGGCGACTGGCTGAGTGGACATATTTTTGTTACCTAACGGAGTGAAATAGATAAACAGAGCTAATGTTACAGACAGATATAAAAGTAAGGGAGACGAGGTATGTAGACGGATAAACGCGGATTGGCAAATGGCGATGAAGAAAGAAATGGAGATTCTCATTCTAGAAATGAGGGGATAGCCAAGGGGGGGGGGGAGAGAGTGGGGGGAGGAAGGCAAAGACTGGGGTCTGCGTATAGTTTTAACGGACCTGTTCAGCACAAGAGGAGAAGTAGGAGGAAAGTGAAAGTGAAAAAGAGAAACAAGAAAGAGAAACATGAGTATGTATAAATAATAAGATGAATATAAGATGAAAAGCCATCTGTTCCAATGATATTTTGTGTTTTGGTTCGTGTGTTTTGTTGTATGATGGGTGATGCGGTTGTATCCCTTCCCTCTTCATTTCTCTCTTTTCTTTCTATGTGCATTCCTGATATTTTTTTTTTTTTTTTTTCTTGTAACGAATAAAAAAGGGGCGGGAGCTGGTTTAGCGTTTTGGTACAAGTAGGTATCCCCATCCATACACCCTCATATCCCCCCTGCCTCACTCGACAACATCTACCACTACCACCTTCTATACAAAGTACAGAGTAAAGAAGTACAACAAAAGGAAAAGAGCAGAAATCCAGAAACTAACGAACGAAAATCCCAGACAAGCAACTAGCGCTTGCCAATAGGCGGTCTCCCCACAGGAGGGTTATACACGATCTTCCGCGACTTGATAGGGGCCCATTTGTATCTCTTAATCCAGATGCTGATGGCTGTAAGCATAGCGGTGATGGCGAGGGTCTTGAGACCCATCTTTTTTCGCTCGTCCATCTCAGGTTCTGCCGCCCAATTTAGGAATTCGGTTACGTCCTTGGCCATTTGCGAGGTGGTGGCGGGTGTGCCGTCTTCATATTCGACCAAGCCGTCGAAGAGGACGCGGGCCATTGCGATGCCTAATATTAATTTTCTTCGGTTAGGATGTACATTAACGCATGGTTCAGTATCAACATCTCTTACCTGTTCCGGGGAAGTAAGGGTTAAAGCTCAAACCCTCCTGCACGGATGCACCCGCAGGTGGCTCATCGGGATACCCAGTGAGCAAGTTGAAGATATAATCACAGCCACCATGGCGGGCCTTGACGATCAAACTCAAATCCGGTGGTAGAGCGCTATTGTTAGCGGCACGAGCGGCCTCATCGTTCTTGTAGGGTGCGGGGATGTAGTCAGACAGTTTACCAGGTCGCTTCTCGATTTCGCCCTGATCATTGGGTTCGGTATCGTACTCGTATTCCTCGGCCATGGCTTTCATCTCGTCGACGGTGTGTATGGTGCCGACGAATGCGCGCCATGGTACACGGCTGAGGGAGTGGCAGGCCATGCATACCTCTCGGTAAACCTGGAAGCCACGGCGGAGTCTGTATACCGTCGTTTGACATGATTAATTTTTTTTTCTTTGTTTTGCCTTTTGTGGGGGAATTTAACTGGGACGCAATTGAAGGACCGTAGAGGAGTCAATGGGTGGACTTACGCTTGGTGGTCGAATGTTTTTGTCCATTTAGTGTGTTCCCATGGGTATGGTGTCGGATGTAACCTGTTGGGAAGACATACGTCAATATTTGATGAAAATAATATCAAGAATATATGGCCATCATTATATGTGGATATGTATATGTAAGTCGTTTGATTCCTCCCCAATTATCCCTCGGAGAGAAGTCTTACCCTTCTTCAGCTGGTGTCATAGCAAAGGCCTCCTGGCCATAGAAGTGATAGTACCATGCCACGGCACCGACGGCGGTTGCGGTGGCAGCCGAGGCGGCGAGGGTCAGGTAGAAGGGCGATTCAGGGCGGGCGCCGGAAGATGTGGAAGAGGCTCGCTAGGGGAGACGGGATGTCAGTGGTACAATCAACAACGTGAAAGCGCCATTGGTAGGATGACGGTGATCTAGACGGCTCAATTGGAGCGGGGGATATGTTTGATTGTGCGGGTGGATAGGCATACCGTTGTTGTTGCGGTTGTTTGGCGGAAAGTCTGTCGAGCGAAGATGGCCTTGGTGGGCACATTGCGCGCGACAGATCTGGTGAACATTTTTCTACAATTCAGAGAGTGGAATCCCGCCAGTGGGGGGGGAGGGAGGGGGTACTGAGGCGGGAAGAGGAGAGGGAGCGCTCGTCGTTGTGAGTCTGATATGTGATTATTGAGTGGAAGTTGAGGTCGGGATCGGGTTGCAGCTCAGCAAAGTTGCAAAGAGCGAGGTTTGTTTGGCTGCATCGGGTTAGCGCAGCTCTGCTCTGTATGGGGCTTGGCGCTGGTGACAACGGAAATGGTCTGATTGGCTGGGAAAATGGTTGGTCACGGGATCTCGGCGAAAGCCGCGAGAAATGGTCATAATAATACTGCAGTTATCTCTCTCTATCTGGTGCTTGCTGCTTCTACTATGAACGTAGGTTGATCCTTGATATGGGAAGTATTGCCTAGTTGACTGATACACTACCAGCACATCTCCCTCCCGCTCCTGCTGCTGCCTCAATTACCGCCCGTTTCTCTTCTTCCACTCCCTGTATCAAAGCCCCCACCGCTTGCTCGATGGTACACTTTGCAGAGTCCAGGTGCAGCACCAACGAGAGGGCAGGCAGCCTGCGTAGGCTACGGCCACTCAATCCCTAATGATAAACATGTCTGTTAACAAATAATGCAACATCAATTCCTGTCAAGATCACAAAGATCACCTACAACACTCGCATCAGCTACGTCTGCCAGCCGTTTCGGTATGGATTCAGGAAACAGCTGGTACCAGAGGACCATCTCCGTATGACTGGGAAGAACAAGTGTTTCTGCCGGCGATGATACGTATTTCAACTCCGTGGCGGGATTGTCCTGCTCAACACGGATTACGTCGAAGGTTGCACCGTGTATCAATCCACATTGACTGAGGTTCTCCAGGCAGCTTCGGTATATCTCGTAGATTATTCGGCTGGACGGGTTAGGCATGTACTGCTTGATGTCGACTCGGTCAAGGAATGCGGAATCCTGTCATTTTGCATAGGCAGGGGAGTACGTTAAAACGATAATGCATTCTCTGCGTTGTAATGAGGAGCAAAAATGCCATACCAGCGCTGTGATCAGGTTACTTGTGCAGAGCACCACCACATTAGGCCTGTGTCTGAGTCGATCCAGCGCCGTCAGGAGCGCATTCACAGCCCGCATCGCATCGAAAGGCTCGTTCCCATGCACGCTCTGTTCCCGTTTGGCCGTTAATGTCTCCACCTCATCGATGAACACGCACACAAAAGTATCCGGTTCTTCCTCAAGCATGTTCTCGATGTTATCGAACATCCTTGCCACAAGCTTGCCGCTCTCGCCGAAAAATTTACTCCCTAGCAAGTGTGCGTTGATTTCCACCAACTTGCTCTGGGGGAATTGTTTTCCCAAGCGTATTGATAGTTTTTGTGCTAATCCACGGCTGAGTCTATGCGTTAATAATCTTCTTACTGAGAGGGATAGAGGTATAACACGAATTGGGAATATGTTTACCAAAGACTCGTCTTCCCTGTTCCCGGTGGACCGTAGAGCAGGATAAGCCTGTTCCAATTGATTGTCCAGATGTTGAGTTTCCTCGTGGCAAACATAACTATTCGTATTAGCCAACGGACGGACACCATGCAATCTGATACCAATAATAGAACAGCATACGCATCCTGCTCACTGCCCGAAGCAGCGTGGAGGGTATCGACACATCAAATAGAAGCCTGTGTTCAAAGCGGTGGTTCCTGATTAATCTCACTGCCATCAATCCGTTACAATAACCAGAATAACCATAGCAAGTAATACTGATAACCTACGATTCCCACACACCATCCAACTCTTTACTTGGCAAACTTATCATGCGCGCCTGCGGGCCGTCCTCATCGCTCTTCCCGTTGGCAGTAGCATAGGCTTGCTGGGACGAGTCGTCCATACTCTCACATCCACGTAGCTGGTATGCCTGCACGTCCAGCTCGACATCCTCTAGGCGATATGCGCCGCTCTCTTGCTGCGGGCCTGCGCATTCCATCACTTTGACCACGTCCAGGAATTGGCATTGGGTATCGGTTAGGTCAGCTGTATTTGGTTTTTTAGTATCAGGTCAGTCTCGACTGTTGTGGGAGTTTCAATTTGAGTTATAATGATGTTTGCAGGTCGAGTCCGTTGTCTCACAGAAGGAGGTTATCTCTTGTCCTAGAGTTAGAACGGCGAAGGTTTCTAAGAGCCATTTTGTAACTTCATCGCGGACCTATTCGTAAAGAGGAGTTTCCCAAGTTTTAGACTAACTAATAAACGAAGGAAATGAGAGCGATGTGATCAATAAGAATTGGAAACCCACGAGATCTGTCCGGACGATGATGTTTCCCTCGTTCCTGACGCGGGCCTCGATGTGCAAGGTAGGCCTAGTGATGGTCTCTGTTCCGTTGACCGGGGATCCCATTGTGATTTTTGATGCAGATAGATAAGTGGCAGAATGGACCACGATAGGTATAAGTTCTAGAAAACACAATACGTGTGGAAATGAGTCTCCCCGGCGACCGTGTTGATAGTGTAGCTGGGAGGTTGATAGAGTGAGGTTAAGGGGATAAGGGATTCAGCGGGAGAAGAGAACGACTGGATTGTCTTCCCCTTCATCCCAGCGCGGAAAGAAAGAACTCGGGCTCCAACACAGCCATGCATTGATTTGCTAAACAGAGGAGACTTCGGATTCCAGTCTAGCATAGAAGAAATACAGAGAGGTACTAGCAGAGAGAGAAAAAAAAAAAAAAGAGAGAAAATGAGTTAGAGAAACTCGCTATATTTAGGACAAGACATCCCGCAGTTATATAGTTACAGTATACAACGTAGGAACTAGCCTTGTCTCATCATGCAAGTTCTTAGAACGGGGTGCAGAGGTAGTTAGAGCTCCAAGTAAATAAATATTCGAGCATAAGTGGATTCCTATCGTATGTTGACTTGGGAAAGATAGTTAACTTAAATATTAAAATAATAGTTAGTTAACTTTAATAATAAAATAGTTAACTTTATTTAAATATTTAGCTCGACGTCAGCTGTGGGGTGGGTGACAGCAAAAACAAATCATGCAACTGTTCTCTCAGCCAACTTGCCCTCACACTGACAACCTCACATATCTTCGAGTTCAACGGGTGATCCCTTCCTGGGGCAGATAAATATTTTACTATGGGGTTTCCGCCGCTGTATCGCCATCCAACCCGATCTGCAAAGATCCAATAATAAATACTTGCGACTATTCAGCGTCCCAACTTCCCGCTTTCCCCACACTGAGCGATACAGATACCGTCCGCTAGGAATGAATCCTCCGCTGACCCCGCTACCTTAACAACCCGCTCCATTGATTCCGGGGGTTCTTTGAGTCAAGGGCTCAGAGCACTCCTAGAGTCAAGATGTCGGGTTTTGCAAAGGCCCAGGTCTCCGGCGGGAGGCCGGGCAAGGATATCCTCGCCTCGTTGAAACTGGCACAGCTGGAGATTTCCAAGCCAGCCCTGCCTGCTGGTGAGTACGGAGAGTGGCAGATTATATACTCACCCATTCATATATATTAGACGTCCGGGGGGGAATGCTGTTTTGCTGATGTTTACCGGCTTTAGAAATATTATCCTCCATCCTAGATTACCTTCCACCGGCCGACTTGATTAGAGTCGCGGGGGCTTCGAGGTTAATGAGAGAGATGGTCTACGAGGATTCAAGATGGGTACAAAGACTGAAACGGATTGGCTGTTGGGATGATGTCGAGGCAAGAAAAGTGGCGGAACAGTCCAACCCAGTTCTCCATAGACAGATGAGTGTGCCTGTGCCAACTATACACGTTCAAACCCACCCACCTGATAAGCCTCCCGGTGGAAACATCGTGGGGGGAACTGCAATCGCCAATGGTACGACGGGTAAATCGAACGCCTTTGAAGTCGTTGAGTTCTCTACGGGAATAGGGTCGAACAAATCTATTGCTTTGAATGCTAAGGCCGCTTTATCTGTCCTCTCCCGTGTTCGCTCTATACGTGGAAGGGCAAGGGAGGAATACGGCAAGGTCCATGCGGCGATCTACCCATTCTATAGAGATATTGACAGAACGGGTGGGTCGATGGACAGTATAGTATTTAAAGTGTACCATACGCCCGAAGACCAAGCTCAGATGCTGTCACAACTCCAAGCGTTCGCAAAATGCGATAATGTCCTTGGAGGGAAGTCGAGGAGGGAAAAAGTTCTTCGTGCCGTATCTCTTTTTGAAATGGCCGCGCTGCAGGAGTTTAGAAGTGGGTATGAGCATGGAGATATCGAAGGTCAAATGCGGAAATATACCGGTGTATTGACCACACTTAATGGCGGCAGTGCTGCTATTGCTCATTTCATTGACCATAACCACCTATTCGCGCGGAAGCGCGATTTTGGAAGCCCGTCGGATTGTGTCGATAGTGACACTAATGCAGTGAGGTTAAGCCACTCTCAGGCATTTCTTACCCGCCTGAGCGTGGCATATAACGAGGAAGTGGATATCATAGATCTCTGCTTCCATACGCCTACGAAGGTATCGACGTTATTTCTAGACAAGATCGAGACAGAGGTATTGTCTCCTTATTTCACCGCCCTTTTCACCGACCTACGCTCCCGGAACGTTGAATCGTACCTTAGGGCTGTTTCGGGAACGTTTGCGCAGACTTTGCATTTTACTCGGGATTTACGGAAGCCCATAAATAGTTCTGGCGATGACTTTGCCGAGGCAGCAGATAGGATTGCGGAAAGCATATTTGAACCATATCTCGACCAATACCTCACAGACGAACTCAACCATTTCCGTAAGCACTGTGACATCGTCGTGTCAGAATGGGATAGGCAGCTCTCTGAGCAAGCAGCATCCACGGAATCCTTCTACATGTCCAATGTCAACCGGCAGGCTGATAAGAAAGATTTCCTCACCTCCTTTAAAAAGGTGCTTATGGCGCCTGTGAACATTCTACCTAATTTCTCTTCTATGATGTCAAATGGTGCAAAGGCGGAGGACACTGAGAAAGATGCTCAAATTCAAGACCCAACCTATATTCCGAACCCTAAGTTTGCAACGCCCGTGTCGATTCCTTCCACCCCGTCAACGCCGCCAAATGACCTTCCCACAACAGAACTTGCTGCCAAAGTTGCAATCATGAACTCGAGACTCGAAGGTATTCGCTCCTTGTTCAGTATCGAGGTAGCCCTCGACTTGGTTCACGCTGCCAAAGCTAGTCTAGAGCGAGCCGCCCAATTCTTGAAACTGGGTGGTAAATCCGCGAAAGATGCAAAATTACAGTGCGAGGCCATTTTTGTCTCTCTCTTGCACATCCTTGGCCATCGACATGTCATTGCCGGCTTCGATAAAGCCGTCGGTCACCTTTCCCAGTATCAACCCCGATACGAAGAGAAGCACGACGGCAAGGGCGTGGAGCCGTTGGTTACGTTCCTTGAGCTGGTCAATGTGGGCGACCTGATTCTCCAGATGATGGACGTCTTCTACGAACAAGAGCTAATTGCAGCGAAACTGACGGACCGGAGCGACTTCCTCGACCCGGCGGCGAAGGAGAAGAAGAAATTCGAGCAGATGCTGGATGAACGGGTTGCGGCGGGTCTTAACAAGGGCATAGACGTGCTTATGGATGAGGTCGATTACCTGCTGGCGACGAAGCAGCCTGCGACTGATTTTAACCCAGAGGCGGATCTTTCACGGCGGAATGCGGCTGATGTTGGGCCAAGTGAAGCGGCGAAAGCGGTTGTGGATGTCATTTCGGCACATACTCGAATGCTCATAGGGAGCACTGATAAGAGTACCCTTGAGGTCTTTAATCAGGAGATTGGCTTGCGGCTTTTTGCGTCGCTGTGCAAGCACCTGAAAATGCAGCGTGTTACGGTCGAAGGGTCGATTAAACTTATCAGGTATGGTTTCTGTCTCAAACGTGAAACGGTTCGTGCGATTTTTTACATCCATTACGATATTGATTGCTTACTCCATAACCTGCAAAATAGCGATATGAACCATTACTTCAACCTCATAAAAACGATGAAAAATGACCAGCTACTCCAATACTTTATTGCTCTCAGGGAATTGTCGCAGGTTTACCTTATTGACCCGTCTGATTCTAAGGAGATGGCTACGATCATCGCCGATGGCGATCGGTTTCACGGCATTTTTCGCGCCGAAGAGGTCTATGAATTTGCCACTAGGCGCGCGGATTGGTATCAGGTTAAGAAGAGCGTGGAAAGAGCCATGTTCGGCATTGGATGCTCTGTGATGTGAATGGGGCGTTTTCTTCTACGAACTCTGGTGTGGTGTTTGATTTCAGTCACGACACAATGTCTCCAATCTACTACGCTCCAGCTGAGGTGAAGCGATCCCGCCTTTTGATACACGAATGTCTAGTTGGATACGGCGCACAGCGGAATATGGCCTTACTGTTCATACTCTGTCATCTAATCCTCTACATCTTCTTCCGCTGCTCGCAATATTGCTCTCTTCCCTCCCGGGTCAAACCAACAGATGCCAAGTCTTCACCTTGCCGCTTATATAATTAAGCGAACAAAGGGTAGGAAAGCTTGGCACGCTAGTCGATGTTTCCTGCAAGCGCTAGCAGACTTGATACTGTTTCACGCCAAACTTGATGGCCAGTCAAAAAATGACATGACCCAGGCCCTGGTACTAACTGCCGATGGGGCACGCTTCATGTTCCCTCCAAGTGTTTGAATCTCTTGGATCATGGTAGTTCCCGCTAGTCGGAAGTTTGTGTTGTCAGTCGCATCTGTGGCCTCCCATGAGCTCAGAGCTCCTTGAACAGTGATAGTGCTGTTGAATCCGAAATATGAAGGTTTGTATGAATACCTTTTATATATCTCCTTCTATCATTATATACAGTGCTTTTTTTTTTTTTTTCTCCAACCAGTGAGAAAGCCGGGCAAGAAAAGTGTGTTCTTTCTTGGCCTGTCCAACTATATACTTTCATGCTTATCTGATATTTTTTATTTTGTTTCACTTGAGCGTCTCTACATAATATATATCCATTCGTATATAGCATTTATTATCGTCCATATTACTTTCCCTGGCATGCCCTAAACCTCTCGTTTCATCTTCTCGTCTTCCTTCATGATTTATGCAAAACTATGCCTCCATCACTCTAATCATATCCTCCTCGACCCCTTCCTCCCCCCAATATGCCAAAGCCATCCCACGTCGCCAGCATCGTCCTCTTTCTCCTACCTTTTTCATATACCTATGCAATCCCTGGCCTGGTCATATTAACGGTTACGGTAACTGTCCCTGGCCCAGGCCTATTACCCACACCACCCAAAACATCACCCACCATCCCGCCCTCATATGCTCCCGACAGAGTATTCCAAAACACTATCCTCGCCGTCACAAATAAATACAGATGGGATCATAACGCCACAGCTCTCACATGGAACTTGACTCTCGAATCTAGCTCGCGGCGTTGGGCACGTCAATGCCGCTGGGCCCATTCTGTATGTATATATTTTTGAGATAAATATAATAAGATACACAGCCCTTGCCATATATTAAATTTTGGCATTTATGTATATATCCAAATATACTCTGCATAAATATACAGCTACAAGTATTGTGAACCTCACTAACAAACCCCGACACGCAGACCAGTGGTGAAAACCTCGCCATGGGCTATGCAAACGTCACCACCGCCGTCCAGGCGTGGGGTGATGAACGAGCTCTTTTCAACTTCAATAGACCCAGCTTCACGCATGAGACGGGCCATTTTTCGCAGCTTGTCTGGAAGGGAACCAGGACGGTTGGGTGTGCGAGGTTCTATTGTGGGGATTATGCGGATCGTGGGAAGGATGATGATGCGTATGGTTGGTATGTTGTGTGCCAGTATTTTCCGGTGGGGAATATTATAGGGGGAAAGTTTTTTGAGGA